GAGGTGATTGCAGGTGATTGACCTCCACGCCCCTCCACTCACAAGACCCCATGTGGTGGGTGGGGGAATTGGGGGAAGGGTGGGAAGGAGCTGCAGCTACTCTGCGCCCATTTCAAGGAAGGAGCTTCACTCAGAACTGATGAGACTCCCAGGTGGGGTCCTGGAACATTCCATGACGGCCTAGACACCACGCTCCCAAGAGCTCAGAGACCATCTCTGGGCAGGTACAACTCTTGCCCCAGTAAACAAATCAGTCACATGGAGCTGGCCACACCCACCCACCATGAACCAAAGCCAAGTTGAGCACTTGGCCTCCACGTCAGGGGGCCGTGGTCCTAGTCTCTGCCCTGCACTATCGACACATCACCTTGGGCGCACTGCCTGACTTCTCTGTGCCTCGACTTCCCCACCTGCAAAGTGGGTAGTGGCAGCATCTACCCCCTAGAGATGGGAGGAGTGAGTGGGACTGGGCATTCGGCTCAGTGCCTGTCACATAGCACCCAGGATTATCATTATTACTAGTATCATTTGCTGCTACATTATTATCTGCTATCAAATGTGTCCCACTGAGGAAAGAGAACGTGTCACTAGCTGGCCGAGGGCTTGGGTCCTTGTTTTTTCCCAGCAGTGGGATGGGCAAGCTCCCGGCCATCCTCATACCTGGTGACTCCTGAGCCAGGTGGTCTGACCCTAAAATTGGCCCATGGGCCTTGGCCACCACACACACTCAGCGACACCTCTGTGAACCCTGTAGCAGCCTGGCCACCTCCTCTCAGCCACCCAGCAAAGCAGGCAAAGGGACAGGGGCAGAGGAATGGGCCTCAGAGCCAGAGTCAGTCCAATATCCACGTCCCCCTCCCTGCAGCTGCCTGCCAAGGTCACCTGGCCCATGGCTCAACCTCGGTCTCCTCATCACCCCCTGCCTGGCAGGTGTGAGTCAGGAGACCCTGTGAAGACAGGGTCGCAGACCAAGACAGGTGCGGTGGCCCATGTCACATGGCTAGTTGGTGAGAGCCGCATCAACCCAGGTGTGCCCGACTCCCAGGGCACAGAGCCTGTCCAGCTGCAGAATGGCAACAGTCGATGCATCTGGGACAGCTGGCATATATGCGCCAGATCAAGCACTATGCCTATGTGAGCTTAGTCACTCCTCCCCACAGAGCCCTGTAAGAAAGGAAATTTACATCCCCATTTCACTGATTAAGAAACTGAGACTTGGCCAATGATTGACCAAGTAAAGAAAATGTGGTACATCTAGACCGTGGAATACTATGCAGCCATAAAAAAGGAAGCCGTCGTGTGCTTTGCAGCAATGTGGATGGAGCTGTAGATCATCATTCTAAGTGAACTAACTCAAGAACAGAAATCCAAGCACTGTGTGTTCTCACTCACATGCAGGAGTTCAACTGCCACAAAGATGGAAAAAATAGATACTGGACATATCAGTAAGTGGGGAGAGGGGAGGGGGGATGAGGGTTCAGAAATTATCTACCAGGTATAATGTTCACTATCTGGGAAATGGGCCACCTGAGACCCGATCCCCACCACTGCACAATATGTCCATGAAATGAACATGCATGCACTTGTACCCCTGATTCTAAAATACAAATAAAGAAAATAAAGAAAGTGAGCTCAGGACAGAAGTGGCTTTCTTGATGACACACAGCAGAGCCAGGACGTGAAACAGGCCCATGTGGCTCAGAGCCCAGGTTCCAGTCCCCACACTCAGCCCTCCCCACCAATGACTGCAGGGTACTCCATGATGTGTAGACTCCACACTCTCGCCTCTTGTGAAGGGGCCAGGACCTGCGCTGCCTCCTTTTCTCCCCAGCTGTGACTTGAGACCCTCGGAACGAGGTCACCTTGAGCAGAGAGCTCTGTGGACCTGGGCAGTTATTCTGACTATGTTATCAAGACCCTTGGGAGTCAGGAAGCCCGGGGCCAGGGAGGCCCATTCCCAGGCAGTCTCCAGACCTCTCAGCAGGGACCAGAGGAGACACAGTGAGAGGAAGGGAGAGGTACCCGCGTGTTTTCTTTTTTTTTTTTTTTTTTGAGTTGGAGTCTC